TAATATAACTCAACGGCCAAGGGGTTTTGGTTTTGTCACATTTTCCTCCGAAGACTCTGTAGCAATGGTATTGAAGAACAACTACCATGAGCTGAAAGGGAAATTTGTAGATGTCAAGGTAGCAATACCCAAGATTGATATTACTTATACCAATAACAGAAATAACAACAATTATCGTAGTTCAAGCATTGGAGGTGGTGGAGGTCAAAGGTGGCCGATTTATGACGCCTATCAAGGCTGTTATCATGCAACACATGGATATTGTGGACCTGGTTCATGTGGTATTACTCTATATGGATACCAATTTGTGAGCCCTTTGAATGATCCAAGGTGGATGCCAACGCTTGTGACCTACTACCCTTATGTCATGGGAGGCTCTGGGAGCAACATGCCTGCGCATGATCGTCTTCTGTTTCATGCATCTGATGACAGTAATGGAGACTACTGCTATACAAATGGAGACACCTTGAAGTAGAGAGAATCACAAGTTGAAGGAGGCCATAATTGTGGTGCAAAGTAAATGCTGATTGGTATGTCCTTTTTTTGTTTTATTCTTTTTTGCATTGAACTGCTATTCATGTTTAAGATATACATAGTAATTCACTGGTTTCTTATGTTTACAATCTTACATCCTTATAAAATTGCTTAGGAAGAATATTTTGTTTTTGCAATTGACATCCTGACAATGGGGTTCGATCTGCTAAGATGGTTATATTTTTCATTGTCATGGGAAAAATATATATGACCGGGAATATTTAGGGTCTGTGTTTATAAGTGAATTGGTCTATTATTATGATCTCATCATGATTTAATTCTTATTACATAAATCCAGAGAGATTACAATATATATTTATCATCAATATAAAGTAATAAAATATCATAATAATAAAAATAAAAAAGATTGTGTAACGTATCACATGTGTCATTACTCATGTGATTGGCTTGTAGAGCACTTGTAACTAGCACATTGCACAACATGGAGAGGGCTAGTCATAGGCTTAACAGCCCTATTTTGGTTAGTTTCGGTAGCTATTTTTGGCTTGTAAACAAAAGTTATATCATATGGGCACTTGTGGCCATTTCAGTTTGTAGTGGACCATCTTGGACCCTTTATCGTGTGATCGTTTAGAGTTTACAAAATCTATATTTATAATTTACATTGGTTATATAGTATTTGCTAAAATTATTGCTTATGAATCCCAATTGAAATACTTTCTCTAACCCGATTTCTCTTTTGTAGGTCATAAGATACCATAGGAGGTTTCGAGAATGTTGACCTTTGCGGATGGACATGCGAGGGTGATGCACGACCAAAGTAAACCCAACTAAATTCATTACGTTTGGTATCAAAGTGGGACAAGCATACATAGAAACATTTAGCATACAAATGTAGGGGACCTAATGGGGCTATGTTGAGGGTAGCCAACATGCACAACCGTTTAGTGAAGCGGACATTGAAATATAGGAAAATGAGTCACTTGGAGGAGTGAGCATCTAATATTGACATTAAGATGAATGACCAATCTTTCATGCGAGAGGCACCACAAGGACAAACAAGATGGGAAGAATGCATAGCGCACCAAAAGTTGGGATGACTAAGTTTGAGCTATGACTCGATGTTAGCAACCAAACTTGACGGTGCTTAAGGCAAGTGAAGCACTTGGTAAAGGATGAGACCATGTAAAATGGGATGGATTGCTTAGCGATCGAAAGAGTTATGCAAAGCTCACATAGGTGAGAGAATTACTAACTCGAAGAATTTAGTACTCATGTAAGAGTTTGTATATAGACGATAGAATATTCATGACCATCCCAAGGTGACAGAAACGTGATGTCATGGAGCATTGAAACTTTCTCTTCAGCATGAGAAAGATACATCCATAGGAGGTTGATATGTATAACAGGTTTAGTATGTTACTAGGCCTTGAGGGGTGCAGCAGGGGCAGAACAATGCAAAGTTTGTTTGGCAAAGCGGAGTAGACCAAGGGGATAGTAGACTTCAAAACTTCCAAAGGAAAGGATGCGAAGAGAGAAGTTGCTCTAACATGATAGATATCTAGGAGGATTAAGTCATAGAATTATATGCAATAGATCGCATATATTAAGGAAAAATACTTCAAGACAATAACTCCACAAAACTAAACAAAATGAACGAGCGATGAGGAGTCATTGCATGATGTCATATGAGGTAACTAAATTGACTGATTTTCTACTCAATGTATCAACAACTATATTTATTTTCCTATGATGGCAATTGGTTATACAATCATAATCTTTTGCTAACTCGAACATTCTCCTCTACCTCATTCAGATCCTTTTGAGTAAAGAAATACTTCAAACTCTTATGATCAATATATATTTCATATTTCTCACCATAAATATAATATCGTCAAATTTTTAAGGCAAACACTATTATTGTTAATTCTAAATCATGGGTCGAATAGTTCATCACATCATATTTTAACTATCTTGAGGCATAAGCTATAACACTGTCATTCTAAATCATGAGTCTAATAGTTCATCACATTATTTTTTTTATATAATTTTTATAATTTAGTCCCTATAATATTTATATTTATAAATAGGTCCTCAAAAACATAAAAGCATTATATTCTTCTTTTTAAATGAAGATTCTAACCCTATAAACTTCACGTATCGAATTTAAAAAATAATCAAGATTAATATATCTTTATTACATCAATCATATCATAACATCATATATAATTAAATATTTTAAAATATATACAAATTTAAGATATTTTTCATCTCAAATATTGATCGTTGAACAAAAATATTCCCGCTTCACCCTAAATATTAAGATAAATTAATCTCATGTCAAAGTATGCTAGTATATTTTGGCTCATTGTATTATACTTAATGTAAACTTTAACACTTATGCATGGTCAGCTAATATTTGATAGAATGTTAAAAATAATATATTTTAAAAAGTATATATCTCATTTTTATAAATTAAAAATATGAGTATATCATTTATTATATTTATGAAAAGTAATCATCATAAATCATATCAAAGATAATGTACACATTATTTATATTTTTATTGACATAATAATTATATAGTAATTCAAATTTATGAGACTTGGGACTTCATAATATTATCGTAACAGTTAATTTATTATCATGAATAAGCAATCGTCAAATAATTTTCATAAATTTTTTTACGTATAATATGAATATTATATTATACGTAATATTATATTATAGATTCTGTTTCATATAGCAAAATATTCTGTTACACTTCATCTATTTAATGTGGAGGATCGAACGAACAAACCCCATCCCGGTGCGGTCGCGAGCGATGGAGCCATTGTCGTCGTCGTGTCCGCCGAGGGACGTCTCCGCTGGGCCCTCGTTGTCGTCGGGGCCAGGATCGAGCAAGCATTGCCCGGGCAGACAAGAAGAATTGGTGTCACTGCCGTCGTCGTCTCCGCCGGTCGAGGTCGCCTCTGGGCTTTCCTCGTCGTCGGCGGCGTTGACGGTGCAGGGGAAGCTTTTCGTCGGCGGCATCTCATCGGAAACGGGGGAGGCGTTGCTGGTGGAGCACTTCGCTGAGTATGGCGAGTTGAGGGAGGTGACCGTGATACGGGACCGCATCACGGGCAACTCGAGGGGGTTCGGCTTCGTTCGGTTCGTCAATCCGGATAATGCCGAGAGCGCGCTCAAGGAGGCGATGCATGTCATCGATGGAAAGACGGTTCGTATCCCCCGACACACCCACCCATCCTTTCCTTTTCCTCCGTTTCTACTTGGTGGTGTTCTTCTGCGTCGAGAAATACAAATCTTTTATTTACTTACTATGGTTGAATTGGGTTTTAGAACGTACTGCTGGGGAAAAGGGTGTTCTGTTAACTGCAATTTGAGTATGTTTCTTGGTAATTTTTCAAAGATATCGTTGAACTGTGCCTCATTCAATGCAGAAGGAAACTAGAAAAGATCATGGTGTTCATATTTATTGTGCAATTTGCAAGTTGATAGAGGATTATTCACGCAAATTTGATTACCCAAGAAAAGTCAAAGAAGATTCTTTTTTCCTCTGTTAGTTCAGAACAGAAAGTAATTAATTACTGTTTTTTCGGCATTATATCTTTGCTTTTATCCTTGCTCTATCTTAACATCAAGTTCAATTTTGTCTAATTGAACAGTTGGTTTTTAG